ATACAAGCACGAACATTTATCAAATGCTTATTGTTAGGATAATAATTGCAAGTATAACTTTCCCATAATTTTACATAATATGAAGTACCCCAAAGTTATATTACAGGTATAAAAAATATAAATACATTTCACAAAACAAATGTTAAAACGGAAGGAAACCTCAATTCTGCCTGTTGCACGCAATTATACTACAACTTATCATATCAACGCTAAAAACGCATAGTGTCTATTCAGATTAATGTGTAAAATCACTGGACGCGTCCATCGAGAAACAAAGCCGACGTTGCCTGTGCTGTCAAGTGTTTGATGGTCTGCCAGATGGCACAAAAAAAGAGAATGAATTCGAAGTTCCAAGGACATTTTGTGCTTGTTGATGAAAGAACGACGCTTTATATTGACAAGCAGCTGAGTTGCATGGAGTTTTATAACAGCGATTTGTAGTTGGTTATAATATATAGTTATTTGATATAACACGCTTGAAGAAGCTGCAGAAGCCGTATTCCTTCTCTTTGAATCTATAGAAGAAAAGAAACGAAGGCATTTGGCGGTAACAACACTTGGAAAGAAATTAGTCGAAACGTCAGGCATCGGCTCCCTCTGAAGGGGGTTGTAGCAAAATGGTTGAACTTTGAAAATTCAAGAAGGTGATTGCGCGCTGATGCGCTCTATTTAGTGCTGCTTACCGTTTGCAGGGATTCAGATGGATTGCCGTGCTTTGCCAGATGGCCTTTCAATTCACTGCTGCTCCAAATTCCTCACAGATCTCTTCCACGGCGTTTCTGCGTGCTCTCTATATGCCTCCGCGGTTGGAGATGTAAATGCTTAGCCAAAATACTGTTTTAGAATTCTAGTGATCATTGTCTCTACCTCCGCTAAGAGGTCTTTTTGTAGAGCCTTCTGGGGCTGTAATCCCCATTGTTAGGAGGCAGCCTTCTTTGGCGGCTCTGCTGGAGCGGCGTGTCGGTATCTTGATATCATTGATCACCAAAATGTTTTTTATCTTAAACCTGAGCCGACCTTTTCTAATTGTCGGGAGTGATACGACGCATTATCCATCACCATGGACAAGCGTTGTCCATTTGCCACACATAGCATGTACCGCAGGGATTCGCGTATCCAGGATTAAAGAGTTCATAGTCCATATCCCTGTGTACATCATCGACGTGCCCGCCTTCGCTAATCACCCTTGTACACCCAGGTACTGTTCCTTCGCTGCTCATCGCTCCAATGATAATTGCTCGCATTCCCTTGGTTCTCGCGGCAATCAACCCGGCCGAATATTGCGATCACTGACATTGGGGTCAAATTTCAGAATGGTTGTATCTTTCCAACCCCTTGTTCGGTCATCAGGTCGTGAACCTAAGTCTCGTCTAAGTGATCTTCATTGCTTGCTGATTTAACCGTACGCAAGTAATGGGCTTTTCTATCTACTATGTTGGTATTCTTAAATATATATCTTTGCCTATCCTTCAGCTTATATTTAGACTCCGAGCCACGCATAAAATGATAGAAGGTGGTCTCCGACATTCCGAAATCGGGGTATCTTTCCATTATATCAGACCGCAACTCGGTTACGGTCACACTCTTTTCTTCCCGAAACTTCTCCTGGACCAAGTGCCTTGCTCGTTTTCCCCATTCTTGCTCGAAAGCTCTGACGGACTCTTTTCTTCTGTATATGCGTGTCCTTTGGGGGCGCCGGCTGCATCACGGGAATGGGCTGACGAAGGCCAGCTTGTACTTTTATGTTTCTAACAACGGTGGTGGACACCCCATATGCTATGGCTGTCAGTTCTATGGAGGCATCGAATATGGTGTCAATGCACTCCTTTCTAAACTTTCTTTTCAATTCTTCGAAGAAGTCCTTCACATTTTCAGTTATGGCCAATTATTAGCATCCAGATTTGGATGCGTTGACGTCATTACCGAGTGATCCTGGGGGGAGTCGAACATGCGCAAGTCCAAGTTGCTTAGAATAGTACCCAGGTCCTGGTGCGCATCCTAGTAGTACACTAAAGTTTATTTGGTGGAATATCTCAGCTTTTCGAACTCACTGATGATGTCTCATCTGGTATCACGAACTTCAAGTTTCGGTAGGATCCCTGTCAACTGCACTCTAAAACCACAACATGAAATTCAGATCTCGTTGTAGGTTACGAATAGTTGTGAGTGGAATATTTTTTATCGAAAGTTTCCTTGGATGTTTAGTTTTTAGAACTTAATGATTTCCGAGATTAATTGAAAAATATATGAATTCAGATGTGTCATGTTCATCCGCTTTCTACAGCTCTCTATACACCAGGCCTAAGACTTAGGATTTTATAAGGATTTCACCTTAGTGCTAATCTGGCTGAATCTTTCTCGGCCGAGGAGCAGGCGGCACGCGATAGCAGACTAAATACTAGCTGAATTATAAAGTGCTCCCACTCACGAACATGACCAACATGCGGAAACCGCTGTTTAGTGCACCAAGAGAGCTTACGGCACCTGCGCTGGGAATTTCACCGATAACGGTAACGCGGATGGACAAAATGCGCAATGCTCCTGAGCCAAGAAAAGCCGTAAATGATCGAAAGACTATGATGATGGCAGCATTGAGAATGCACGGGCCTACTTGGGGGAAGTTGTAAAGCAAGCAATACACCGAAGACACAGAGAGGAGCAGGACCTGACCATGGAAGAACTACATGAGGAGGTGTCCTTGGCGCACGAGAACTTCGCTCTATCGCTGTCGACGCTGTGCGCGCTGGTTCGAGGATTAGGGTGTTCGTATAGAACAAACGATGGCCAAAGACTTATACAAAGAGCAGATCTGGTCGCTAAAAGAAAAGAATACTTGCACGCAATTGCATTAGCAAGAAGAGGAGATTATATAGTTTATATGGATGAAACGTGGGTCTATAGTGGTATGAGCAAGAAGATGGGCTGGAATGATAATAACATCCCAAGATTCGCGCCCCAATCGACGTTCGCCAGGTATTCATATCGCCGATAAGCCTGTAAGAATAAAGGGAGAAGGGCCATCGTTATTGACGCATTGGCTGAGGACGGCGTGATAGCCCCATGTACGAAAGTGTTTGTAAGCGGAAGGTTGGCTGACGATGGGGACTAATATAGAGATATGAATCACGCCTTGTACGAGACGTGGTTGCGAGAGTGACTGCCGAGTATGATTGAGAGAGCGAACGGAAGGCGCGTTTGTCTGGTAATCGACAACGCGCCGTATTATACGAGGCAATTAGAGAAACAACATTTTCCTCTACCAAAGCGCAAATACAAGAATACCTAATCGAAAGGGATTGAGATACCCATGGGGCCACAAACGCTATTGTGGTCGAGAAGGTATTAA